CACCCTGGCCCAGTGTTTGACCCTCAAAGTGAAAAAGCTTTTCCCTACTTATCTATAGGGGAAAACAGCTGGAATTTCCCACGTCCTGGCTTGTGGCTATTGATCCTCATCCTCTCTCCCTCCTCCCATGAGATAACTGTGGAGAGCAATAAATTTTCCATGAGTCTTCTTTTCTAGCATCTGAGCAACCCCTCAGGTCTGCAGGCAGGGAGCTGGTGGGGAGAGAAATGAAGGTCACTGCACCCCAGGAGAGAGGAGATGGTCCCTCTGGCCCTCCCACCTTGATCTCCCCCCAGCCCATGTGCACCCCTCCTCCTCCTTCCTGCCCTCCTGCCATCAGCACAGCACCACCGAGCTGGGCACCCACTTCACACCAATGGCGCCCAGAAGCAGCCACAGTAGTAATCACTAAACCAAATGAATAGTGAAAAGACTTATTATATCCCTTGGGATCTGGTGGGGCTTTAGGAACATCCATAATCTTCAAGCTGGACAGACCACCATGTGTGTAGTTCTGTCATGCCATAGAGTTTATAATTCTGATAATCTCAAGGTTTGTGCGTGGTAGCACATGGAAAAGCCACCGGCTTTAGACCACTTTGCAGACCTGAGCACTATTTTTCTCACAGTGGAGTCTCTGTAGAGGGCTGCAAGTCTAGAAACAAGCACATACAATCCCCCATCAATGCGTTAGGACTGTACTGCAAGAGCATCAATGTCAGGTCCTGACCACCACCAACCCACACACTTCTGCTGCTTCAAACAGCAACCAGAGCAACCAGCTCTGCAGCAGCTTAACTAACCAGCTGGCAACAAGTGACTCTGCTGGTTTCTTGGCAGATATTTTCATAGCATCTTTCCGTCAAAATGGTGTTTGCTCTGCCTGGGCAAGCTACACATCCCAGGAGCTGCAGACAACTCCTGCGATTGCTTTGGTGGTGCTGCACGGCAGATGCACAGTGTGAGAGCTGCCCTGCTCTCCTCTTCTGTGGTGTCTGCGCTGGGCTGCTGTGGGGGCTGATGCCACCTCAGCCAGGCCTGGAGGGTCTCAGCCTGGGAGGGTGGCGATCGTGGCACTTGTGATCCCTTCTCTTGGTGCTCTACCCCAGGAAAGAGAGACATCTTGAGGGGATGGAGCATGGCACGATGCAGCATGGAGAATGAAAAGACCTGATGTGGAGCATGGGTACCACATTTCCATCTCTCCCAGCCACACCGGGCTGGGTTGTCCCTCCGGCACCACAGAGCAGCCGGGCAGGTGCTGGCGCCGGTGCCTGGCCCGCCACAGACCTGCCAGTAAAGCTTCTCTCTGGAAAGCTGAAGATGAGCTCATATTTTTGTGGGTGAGTTATCTGTGTGATGAGTGATTCACCAGTGCAAAACAAGATCATTGCAAGAAACAGGCTGGATTTTGGAAAGAGCTGTTGAAGTGTGCAGTACCCGGTCAAACAAACTCTGTAATGAGCGCTGAAAGCAGTAAATAAAAGTGGCATGAGTCACTGCAAAAGCACCCCAGCTGCTGCTGCCAGAAGCATGGACAGAAAAGCACAATGCCAGGTGTGCACACCGTCGATGGGATCCAGGACGCGGGGCAGGAAGGGCTGGCACACGTGGAGCTGCTGGCTCACTCGGGTTGAGTGGACAGCAAAGACATGCGTGTCATCATGGTACAGGGTCAGCACCAAGTGAGGAAGGAGCTGTCCTGTTAGAATGGGTCCCTCTCCGCAAGAATTATAAATCCAGGACAATAAAATCCTGAGCATGCAGTTAGTTGGATGACCGAGCTGATGATGGCTGATGCAGATGATGAGGAAGAAAATTAGAGTCAAATCCTCTTCTGGCATCACCATTTATCTCAGTGGAGTTGCAGCAGAGACTGGCCAGCGGTGTTATGTCTCTCAGTGCATCTGTAAAACAAAGGTTTAGAAATGATCCATTTGTGACACTGGAAAATAATGAGTTTTGCAGAAAGGAGCTGTGGTCGCACACAGGAAGGTCCCAGCAGGACCAACACCAGCTTGATTATAACAAGCAACCACTTGATTACAAAAAGCAAAACTTTGTTCATCTGGAAGGCACGAAGCAAACCCACTGGCAAAGCTGCTCCTGCATGTCTGTCCAAGCAGAGCTTGACACAGGACATGGGGAATGGTGGGTACACTTGAGCTAAGGAGCTTCCTCCCAACCCAGGGGCATGCTTGGCCTGCTGGAAAGGTTTCACAGAATGGTAAAATAAATCAGTGCTGTTTGTAAAAAACATGCCATATCACATCGCCACAGCTCAGAAGACATGCTGAGAATATTCACATGCAGCTTAAAGATGTACATTTATGATGACACACAACAGATTTTTATGAAAGATAATGCAGCACTTATGTATATATGACAAAGTTAGGTGTTAGACCCAGGAGTAAGAGCATGGCCAGACCACTCAAGGGCACAACCACCCAGGCCCAGCCAAAAATGAATGGTCTGGGCTTTGAAGGATGAGATTATTTGGGGTTTGGGATGGAAGGTGGAGATCTTGGTGAACCAGCTCAGCAGAGAAAATGGAAACTTTGCACCTCCAAAAGCAAGCCTGGGAGAGCTCTGCAAGTCTCATTGAGCACTCACATGTTGGGGGGAAAACTGGGGGCCAAAGCCTCTTTTGCACAAGACTTAACCAGTGGCACTTGCCACCAAGGACTGCATCAAGCCTAACACAAGCTCTAGGAGAAAAAGAAGTGCCAGGCTTTGGCTCAGGCTGTAAACTGCTTCACAATTATCTGAATAGGTGGAGGAGAGGCTGAGAAGTGCTGCTGTGCCAGGACAGGGAGGGTCCAGTGTCACAGCCACTGAGCACATGAAGCAGAGACTAGCAGCGCCATTGGGGCAGCACAAGGATCCCCAGCATCTTGGCACAAACACACTCTTGTTCAGCAGAAAAGATGCCTGATATCATTTATGATTATTTTTAAATAGAGCTGTTGCTTAATTCATGGAATAGCAGCGTAATAACACCGTGTAGCTGGGTCAGCATGGGGATGCCATATGAATTAATAACAGAAAATGGCTCGTGCTCACTCACTTCCTGCAATTTCCTTTGCTCTGTGAGTTCAAGCATGAGATATCAGTTCTTGCTATCTGCATCCAGAAGCATTAGCAGGACAGTAAGCGAAAACTGACACAGAGAGGATGGGGAAGATTAAGGGAATCCCCATTTAGCACTGTTAGGGTGCCAGACAGCAGCAGCCTCACACTGATTTTGACAGGTGAGCAGATCAAAGAATTACACTTAGAGGGACTAGAGGCAAAGTTGTTACCAAATCCCTTATCCAAAGAGAAACTAGAAGATTAAAAGTACAACCGCTAACATTGTCAATGAGGGGGCATGGCTTTCCAGGCAGAGGCAGCTGGTGGGTGAAGCTGCATGGTGCCCAGGGGGAAGCCACGCTCTAGGGTCAGTGCAGCCCAGGGATGGAGCATGGCTGAGACCTTGGGGTGCCCGGGGATCCCTCTGGACTAGGTGGGTTTGGTCACCTCCTCCAGGCCAGGCAGCTGGGTGAGATTTTTAGCATCATTGCCTGGTGCGTGGCTAGTCACAGCGTCTGCGGGATGCGTAAGGCCTGATGGAGCTGGGCTGACAGTGGGAACGCAGAGCTGTTCAGTGAAATATGTGAGTTCCAGCTGCTGCGTCTGTCCCGCTGATGGAGGGGCCGGGGATAGCGTTGGCATGAGCATGATGTGGCTGTGCAGCTCCAGACCCCTTGTCACAGGGCCGAGCGGTGGCAAGGTCTTTGCTAGCAAGGCTGGAGGTCTGGGCAGGGTAACCTTGGGGAGAGGCATCAAAATCCAGGCAAAATCCTGGGGCCAACTGAGGACTATAAAGAGCTTGAAGATGGCAGTGGGTGACGTGAACAGGGAAACCCCAGCAGCACCCAAAGGAGCCTGGTGAGCCCGCCCAGCACCTTGTCCCAGCCAGGGTGGGTTGGAGGGATGGACTGGTTTGGGGTTTGGGTACGCACGTGCCTGGGTCACTGTCCCTGGAGGGGTGGGGGGTCCCTCTGAGCTCTGGGTTTGAGGGTGTCTGGGTGGTTGGGGGGCTCCATGTGTGGCTGGCTTCCCATTTTGGCTGCCTGCCTGTGGACTCCCCACAGTGGGGGCACTCATGGCGGGGGGCAAGGGCAGCCCGGCCTCTAACATCTGCGAGGGCAGGGCAGGAGCTGGGAATTACAGACCAGGAGTCGGCCTCCTGGGCCATACTATGGGGTGTCTGCCTGTGCCAGTGGAGGGGCACAGGCAGACGATGCACGATGCTCCCCAGCACCCCCCAGGGACCTGACAGCACTGCTGGTGCCCAGTGGTGGCGTGACCCCCCTGCATGTTATGCTGAGCCCACAGGGACTGGTGAGACCCTGTGCCCTGCTTCCCCCTCCCTAAAGCTCAGCAGAGGTTGGGATGCTCAGTCAGGTTTTGGCCTCAGCGTGGGGGGAGCCCCTCTGTTCTGCTCCAACAGGGGTGGCTGTGGGTCGGGGTCAGGGCTGGCAGTGGGGCGGGGGTCCTCTGGGACACAGTGGGGCTGACTCGGCAGTGTGAAAAAGTGTGGGGGGGGTGGGTGGGTGGGTGAGAAACTGTGTTACGGCCCTTCCCCAGTCCTGAAAACTGCAGGGGCTGCTGGCAGGGCCCCCCCCTCTCCCCGCTGACCACACGCTCCCTGACGCTGGCCCCCAAATCGCTGCCCCCCCCCCCCCCCCCCCCCCCCGGAGCAGCATCGGATCGCGGAGCCATTTCCAGCGGCGGATGCTGAGTCACCGCAGGCCCCTCCGAAACACCTCGCGGGGACCCGGCCGGGGGTAGGGGGGTGGAGGAGGAGCGGGGCGGCGGCGGGCCGGGCCGGGAGGGGAGCGGAGCCGCAGCGGGGCGGTGGAGGGGCAGGGGCGGCGGGGGGTGCGGAGCTGGGCTAAGGGGGGGGTGTAGGGGTGTGTTGGGGCGGGGTGGGGGTGGGTGTTGGGGGGGGGGGGGGGGGGGTGTGCGGGGCGTCGGACACTGCGGCCGGCGGGCCCCGGCGCTGCTGAGCGAGAGAAATGTGAGCCGGCTGCACCACTGCGGCGGCACTGCGGGCGGCCGCGGAGCCGGGGCGGGAGCGCGCAGGCAGCGCCCGCGCCCGCCGGGCCCCCCGGGACAGCGGGGACGGATCCCGCCCGCCCGCCCGCCCGCCTGCACCTGCCGGGGGGAGCGGGGGGTGTCCGGGCCCCCCCCCCCCCCCCCCGCCCCCCAAGCCAGCCGGCCCGGGAGTGTTGCATCAGCCCCGCGCGGAGCGGGGGCTCTGCGGCCGGAGGAGGCGGCGGGGGGAGCCGGGGGAGGGGGAGCGGAGCCGCGGGGCGGGCGGGAGGTGCCTCCCCCCCCCCCCCCCCCCCCAACACACGCACACCCGGCAGCTGGTCCCCGCGGAGCGGCCGGCGGGGGAGCCCGACGCCGCCAGCCCTGCCTTTGTGCCCGGTCCCCTCCCCGCGCCGCCGGGGAAGCTGCGGGAGGAGGCGGCGGAGCCCGGGGGAAGCGGAGCCGGGAGCCACGGCCCGGGCGGGAGCGGCGGCGGAGACCGGCCAGCATCCTCGGGGAGCCGGCGCTTGGCACGGGCAGCGCCTGCATCCCTCTGCCTTTCAGATAACCTTTAGCCGCTTGGGCCTCCGAACCGGGGACGGAGCGGGGGTCTGGAGGCTCAGCTGGGGACACAGCCGCACCGGGATCCCCCGTCCGGGGCACGGCGGGGCAATGCAGGTACCGGCTGGCAGCGACCGTCCTTTCGGCCGGGCTGCCCGGGGGGCATCACCCTGCGGGTGCGCAGGCGCGGGTGGGAGGACGGGGGTGTGTGTGTGTGTGTGTGTGTGTGTGTGCGCGCGGGTGTGCACATGTGTGTGCACCGCTGGAGCGTGGCAGCGCGGCGTGGGGCAGGGCTGCGTGGGGCTGGCGCTTGCGGTGGGAGGTCAGCGGGGGCCCTGGATGCGCTGTGTCGTTGAGGGGGGGTGGGGTGAGTGGGTGCTGGGGGGGGGGGGGTGTTTTGCGACGCCCCGGGGGTGCGGGGTACAGCGGGGTGCTGTGCCAGGGCTGTGCGTGAAGGGGTGTGATGGCGTGAGCGTGGAAACGCGGTGGCTGTGCGTGGCGGCTGCCTGGCCGCACGGATCGCCGTGCCTGTCGGCGCGCTGCGGGTGAGTGTCCGTGCCAGACGGGTCTGAGACCCCCCCCGGGGTTGATGCTGGGGGTGGGGGGGAGGGATATACACCGCTTGTGGGGTGCGGGGTGCAGGATGTGGGCCTGTGATGGGGGGGGGATGCAGGACGCGAGGCCTCCCGCCTCGCAGCAGGCGTTGCAGGATGCTTGCAGGACCCCAGTGCTGCCAGGGCACGGCCCCCAGGGAGACCCTCACTGGGGTCGGGCAGGGATTGAGCCCCCCCAGGGCTCTCGGGCATCCAGAGCTGAACCCCTCGCGGCCTCTCGCCATCCCCGAGGGCTGCTGCTGCGACCAGATGGCCCCCTCGGGCCCCCTCCGTCAGGCCTGGCAGGGCTCGGCAGGAGCAGGCATCCCTCTAACAGGATTTGCAGCGTGATGGAGGAGAGCGCCTTCGCCCTTCTCGGAGGAGAGACAGGCTGTCGCCGGGGCTGCTGAGGGAGAAAATGGCCACGGGCTGGCTGCCTGCACCCCATCTCTTGCCCCAAAACGTGGCCTGTCCTCTCCAGCAGCCCTGGGACAAGGGCAGGGAGCTGGGAAGGGGGAGAAGCTGGAGAGAGGGATAATAGCAGGGACAGATCAGGAGCAAGCAATGGAGGTAAAAATAGATCCACCGAGCAGAGGAGGGGCTAAACGTGAGAGAAAACCCTGAGCAGAGGCAGGTCGGTGGGGGAGCCCCCCCAGGAGGGGCCCTGCGTCCCGGTGGGATACAGTGGGGTCTGTCCTCCCAGCCCCTAGGGCAGAGGGGGGAGCCGGGACCCCACACTCAGCGGGACCCCACACTCAGCGCTGCTGAGGAGATGCCTGGGGGGAAATACCTGCTCCTACTTCCACCAGCCCAAACATGCGGGTGGATGGACAGGACCTGCAGGGCTCAATTGCCAAATTGCCGGGATGCAGGCGGGCAAGCATCCCAAGGGAGCGCTGGCAGCTGGTAGATCCCTGAAGAGCCTTGGATCCAACCCCCCTCTTGCTTTTCATTTCCAGCAAGCACGAAGCTGAGCTGGGGACAGAGGTGCCAGGGACGGAGGGGACAAGGCGCGTGGCAGCCCCGGCGTCAGCCAAGGTGAGCTGCCCTCCAGCACGGGATGCTCCCTGAGCCCCTGCCCCGCGGGAGCTGCTGGTGACGGCAAGTGGGAGAGCTGGGAAGTCAGAGCAAAGGAATTTGCAAACACATTCTTCAGCGCCACGAGGATCCCAGGGCGTGTAAACAGGAATAAAGGCCGGGTGGAGGCAGGGGCCGGGGTGAGGCAGGGGCTGCCCGCCTGTGAGACCCCTCCTGGACTCACTTGCCCTGGGCAGCGCCCGGCGCTACGCTCCCCAGTTTACCGTTCCCGACGGCAACTGATCCGGTGTGGGAAGTGCCAGCGAAGGCAAGAGGGGGGCTGCCAAGTGACAGCCAACGTCACGTTAACGTCCCGGTGAGGTGCTGCGGGAAGCCGACGCTTTGATCACCCGCCCAAGAGGATCCTCCAAGGCAGGCAGGATGCCGCTGTGAGCCCTGCCTTCCCTTGCCTGTGCTGGCCTTGCGCCCGGCACCCTTGGGGCTGGAAAGAGAAGAGAGGCACGGGGCTCGCTGGCACTGCCCCGTCACCCCAGGATGCTCTCCCGCACCAGTGGCTGCTCCCTGTGCTCCTGCTCCACGGCCAGACCAAGATTGAAAGCTCAGCCGGCTGCTGGCATGTTTTAGCCTCATGCAGGCGTCCCTTGGAGACCCCAGAGCAGTGGACAGTAATGTGAAAACAATACTCATGTCGTGTTTGAAAGGGCAACAGGTCATCATTAAGATGGAGGCGATGAAGATCATCCACCCGGAGAAGTTTTCGGAGCTGCAGGCCTCGCAGCCGCGCTACGCGCCAGCCCCACGCCGCGAGCCGCCTCTTGTGGCCAAGCGCGCGTGGCCCTCCGAGTCTGAGATCATTGTCAACCAGGCGTGCGGGGACATCCCCGCTTTGGATGCCACCCCCGGCCCGCTGCAGCTCCCCCGGACTCCCCCCCTGCCGCGGCGGGAGCGCGGGTACCAGAGCCAGCGGAAGGGCAGCTCCGAGGTCTGCTACCACCGGCAGCCGCCGTCGGACGAGGTGATCGTCAACCAGTATGTGCTGCACCCCTCGACGCCCTGCGAACCCCTCGAGTGCCCCACCTGTGGCCACATGTACAACTTCACCAACAAGCGGCCCCGCATCCTCTCCTGCCTGCACTCGGTGTGCGAGGAGTGCCTGCAGATCCTCTACGAGTCCTGCCCCAAGTACAAGTTCATCTCCTGCCCCACCTGCAAGCGGGAGACCGTCCTCTTCACCGACTACGGGCTGGCGGCGCTGGCCGTCAACACCAGTATCCTCAACAGACTGCCGGCCGAGGCCCTGGCCGCCAACCCCGTCCAGTGGAGCAGCGACACCGACCGCAGCTGCTACCAGACCTTTCGCCAGTACTGCGGGGCTGCCTGCACCTGCCACATCCGAAACCCACTGTCTTCCTGCACCATCATGTGAGCCCCGCGCCCCTGCCCACAGCTCCCAGCAGCGGGGTGGGAGAGGATGCCGCAGCGCCGCGGCTGGTCCCCAGTCCCTCCTTTGCCGGTGGCACAGCCCGGGGATGCTCTGATGCTCACCGTGGCCAAAGACGTGGGACCAGCGTCCTCGCCAGCACTGGCCGGGGGTGATGGGCATGCTGGGACCTGGCGACAGCCCCCTGCGCCCCGGTGGCACCCAGGGAGAGGGACCCTGGGATGGGGAGCACATCTACCAGCGCGTCCAGGGGCTCCGGCTCCCCCCGGTCCTGCAGCGGGTGCCCCCGCTGTGCATCGAGCATCTCACCACGCTCCTTCCCCGGGCGCCTTCTCCCTCCTCTCTCCCCGCGGCTCCTGAGAGTGGATGCTGGAGCGACACCCTCCCCATCACCCCACAGCCACTGGCAGCAGCACGAGGATCCCTGGAAGTGCGCAGTGCCACACTGGGTCACCCACCCGGCACGGAAGGCGAGGACAGGTCCCCAGCTGCACCCTCCCCCCTTCTCTGTAAGTTATTTGCCAAAGCTTTCATCTCAGTGGCCAAGCCGCCCTGCGCCCGAGTCATTGTAGCCATGCCAAGCCACTGCACCGGCCTCTCGGTTGCGAGCAGACACGCGGCCCGTTTCCTCCACAGGCCCTTGAGGAAAGCTCCACTTTATCCTCGTTTTGGAGGATTCTTGTTTTTTCCCTGTCCATCCCCGGCCGCCCCATCCTAGGCCACTACGTGTTCACACAGGCATTGAGCTGTGCCCGTTCTCTGCTGCCTCGCCCAGGGCCCTGCACCGGTGCCCTGTGGGATGGCTTGGGAGGTGGCGCAGGGTCTGGTACCCCAAATTGCCAGCTCCAGCAAGGAGATTTGGCTGGGCAGGGGGACAGAGGTCTGGCTTCAGCCCGCTGTCCCTTCCCCGGAGTAGCACCTCTGCTCTGACCCCTGTGCGGAGGGGCTGGCAGGGCAGCAGCTCCCTGTGCACAGTCTTGCTTTCTTCTCCAGGGTACCTGGAGGGGTAAGTTTGCTGCCAAAAAAGCAAAAAAAATATAAACCTAAAAAAAAATAAAGAAAAAGCCATAATTTGTGGGTGCTCCCACGGGGCTGACAACCACAACACGGAGTGGCCGTGGCACCAGGGGCACATGCTGCCCGGTCCCAGGGCACGGGGGCTGGGCGAGCCAGAGGGGCCCTGCAGAGCCCCACACCCTGGAGGAAAGAGCAGCCCCCGGCGCTGGGTGAAGCCCGGCATCCCCCCAGGAAGAGGGGCCCAACCGTCCCCCCCCGCCTGCCTCGCGGGAGCGGGCGACGCCGCCGGCGCAGCCCCAGGTACCACCCCGCTGCCAGCAGAGAACGGGGGCTGATACTGTCTCTGTGTTGCTCTGCCAATGCCTCCCGCTGCTGGTTGTGACGATGATCATGTTTTATACCCGGCCTTGTTCTAACCCCCATCAGTCTCCCCAATAAAGATTATATTGGAACGAGTGCTGAGCCAGCGTCACGGGGAAGGTGCGTCACTGCAGGCCCGAGTGGGGCTGCACACCGGCTGGGATGCTGCAGCTTGGTCTGGGGGACAACTTGAGAGGAAGATTTCCAGAGGAAGGGCTTTCCTGTGGACCGACACCTCCTCCTCTGCCCTGGCTCTTGGCTCTGACGTGGTTGTGTCCCCTCCTTGCCTGGTCCCTGGTCTCCCTGCCCAAGGCTGGGCACTGTGGGGTACCCTGCCCACCTTGGCAAGTGGCCCCCAGCCACACTGATGGCTCTTAAATACTTGTTGGATGTCCCAGTCCTCCTTAAGCGACGTGGTATACTGGGGGGAGGATTTGGCGGTCTGGCTGAGGTGGCACCTGCTGGTGAAGGAGCTGGGCCGGCACACGGGCAGCACCGGGCTCCCTCTGCCTTGCTGCGATGAAGCAGATGCACCCATGGACCCTGACGCCCGCCCCTCTCTGCGCCATCCCCAGTGACACACAGGGACTGCCCCGGGCCTGGCACACACCCAGCAGCACCAGCAAATGGCATCAGTGGGGAGCACCCACTGCCTGCACCGAAGGGCCCCCGGGGTCACTGTGATGGCATCTCTGCAGCTGGGAGAGGCAGGAATTTGCAGCAGAAGCAGCTGGGAGGATGCTCGCAGGGCAACGCGGCTCCCTGGGGCGTGAGCTGTGCGTGCAGGCTGGTGCGTGCAGAGGTGTGAGCACGCATGTGCACGCCGGAGGGTGCGCGTGTGAGTGCACTGGGGCTTCCTGCACGGGCACAGCCCCACCGGCCCAGTGCTGGCCCCTGAATTTCCTTTCTCTGGGAGCAGAGTCTCTCTCTGCTCTCTGCTGTGGGCCCCTGTGGAGCAGCTGCTTCCAAAGCACCGGCACATCCAGGGCTCACGGCCAAGCCCTGGGGGCAGCCCCCCACCCCTGGGGGGGGTGCAGGGTGGCTGCAGACCCCTTGCCCTTGGCTGCCGGTTCCCCACCCAGCAGGGTTTCTTTGCCCAGAAAACAAGATCACATCCCAGTCTGTGGGTGCTCAATTACAGCATCAATAACGCGGCTGGTGTCATCTCTGGCCCCAAGCGTGCTGCAGCCATGGCCTGACTCCCCGGCCCTGCACCTGCAACCCCACTGTCCTTCGTGAGGGGGGGGGGGCACACGCAGCCCCGGCAGCAATGCCAGGGGCTCCCAGTGGTCACAGCATCCCCCCAGTGAGCCCAGCGATGTGGCTGCTTGGGGAAGCTGGGCAGCCTCAAATCCAGGATGAGCAACTCCATCACCCCAAAGGCTCATCCTGAATCCAGGATGAGCATCTCTGTCTGTGGGGCCCCAAAGGCACCGAAGCAATGGGCCAGACAGGGCAGAGGTGGCAGCAATTTTGTTTTCGGAGCAGAAATATACCCTTTTGATTACATAAGGATGAAGGGTACAGTGCGTCCTCCCCCCGCTCGTGGTACCTCTTGGGCACAGAGTAAATTTAAAACCACTAATTTGATTTTGAGTTGCAATTAAGGAAGAAATGGGGCCTTTCAGGAGTAAGTGCTGGGTGACAGCCCATTTCTCCAGCCCTATTAACCTCGAATGAGTGCTCACTGGAAGAGGGGCCCATGTATGTGTGCTGTAGGGGACAGGGACAGCAGCACGGTGCAAGCCCTCGCGTCGCGGCTGCAGGTGAATTAAGTCTTTCAAAGTCACTCTGGCATCCCAAGCCCTGGGACACTCCCATGGCCGCCGTGGCCGCTCTAGGCGTTGTACCTCCAAGCCGGGTTTTCAAAGTGCTCCAAGTCCCACCAGCGGCTTAAACACGGTCAGGACATCGCTGTGGGAGCAGGTTTGGCCATTAGTGAGCAAAGATGCTCACAGATGTTCTCAGATGAGCTGGTTGTAAACTCTCCTCCTTGGTGTAACGTCTGTCCCAGGCTGGGATGAAGCTCTGAGCAATCCCATTTTCCAGGTTGGCCCGTGCCAGGAAAGATGACTTGAGGGGTTAAATGGCTCCCCAGGATGACCCTTCCCCAAATACCCTCATTTTAGATGTAGGAAGGGCCAAGAATGGGCAGCTATCTGCTGGTGTGGGGTCAGCCTTTGGCACGGGCTCCGGGGATGATGTTTCCCAACCGTTCTCCCCCAAACCGTCTCCTGCAGCCTGGCTGGCGGGTGCCAGGAGTCGTGCGGGGCTGTGGGCAGCTCTGCGTTCCTGCTGCCGAGGGGTGGGCAGCCCTGGGCAGCGCCAAGGCTGGTCCTCATGCGTGTGGCCCCAGCGGTCCCCATCCTGCCCCACCACCCTGTCGTGAGGTTGCACAACAAGACCAGTTCCCTGTTGGCGCAGCGAGGGGGGAGGATCCGGCCCCGGTTCAGGGGCCCAAGGCTGTGCTGGGCTCTGTGGTAGCACCATGCCAGGCTGGGGAGGAGGTGACCGAGCATCAGGGCTGTGCCCTCCTTGGGGCCACGCAGCCTTGAAACCTCGGTCCAGGGCAGTCGCGCACCCGAAATGGCTGTTTCAATGAAGAGGAAGCTGCTTGCAACGGCTTCTGCCAGCGCCCCGCTTTCACAATGAGGTGAAACCCTGTGATGAGGAGATAACGAATTGTGGCACAGAGCCCGAGAGGCTGTGACAGGTCCCTGGGGCAGCGCTGGCCCCACAGATGGGGAGGGGCTGCTGGGCTCAGCAGCTTTCCTGGGGTTAAATCCAGGCGAGGGCTGCCCGCAGGCACGGGCACCCGCTCCCACTCGCTCCCCAGCTCCACATTCAAGGCCAGATTCTGGTGCAAGAGTTGTTCCCAGTGCCTCACCACTTTTGGGCCATACCTCCCGTTGCTGTCCCTCCAGCCTCGCTCCGATGGGTGCAGGATGGGGACAGCGCTGGCATGTCCCCCGCGTGGGGACTGAGCAGGGACAGGGAGATAGTGCTGGTGGTGGTGGTGCAAAAGGGGTGTGGGGCAGGAGTGCTTCTGACCAGAGCCGGATGGGGTCCCTGGCACCACAGTCCCCTGACCCCCGACCCCCAAGCCTTGCCTGCCCGGGCGGGTGAGACCGGGCACACTCGGTGCACACCTGAGGCTGGCTGTGCTGCCCGTGTCCTCGCTGCCACTCAGGCATGGCTGGGCACCCTGGTGGGGACATGCCAGGCTTCAGTGGGAGAAGCCAGGAGAGAAAAACGGCCCCGCAGAGCCCCGAGGGGGCAGGTCCCTGCGGGGATGGGGACAGCCACATCACCCTCCCAGTGCCAGCATATGGGAGATGTGATGAAGCATTTGGGGTGTCAGGGGCTTGTGGGAGGGGACAGGGAAGGCTGCAAGGGGGGTGGGGGGAGATGGGGTAGATTTGGGGGGCTGTGATGGAGTCCATGGTGGGGGGGAAGAGGCATGGGGAGGCTGCAATGGGTCAGTGGGAGACAGCAAAGAAGAGCTGTGGGGCTGGTGAGAAGGTGGATGAGGGCTGCGTGGGGGTGTGCATGGTGAGGCTGGGGTGCATGGAGAGGCTGCGGGGTGCTTAGGAGTGTGCTGGGGGATGCAGTGGGGTGTGCGTGGGGAGACAGGGTGCATATAGCTGCCAGGGAGGGGGGGTTGTGATCAGAGGGTGTATGTATGGGGCTGGGGGGGGGGTGGGGATAGTGTGGTTTGGGGGGGGCTGTGCTGGAGGACAGAGCCCTGCCGCAGCCTCCCATGGCTCCCGGCACACCGCCCCCAGCCCCAGCTCGCCGTGCTGCGGTGCACCCGCCGTGCCGCTCGCTGCTATCTCGGCGAGCTAAATATAACCGAGTCCTTGTGAGCGGACATTGCAGCCGGGCTCCCGCCGGCCAGCCCTGTGTGCGCGCCGGGGCACCGTGGGCAGCACTGCCGGGCTCTGCGTCGCCCACAGGGTCAGTCCCCCACTGCAGCCCCCTCCCCGGGGAACCCACCACGGAGGGGATGTGGGTGCCCTTCTCCAGCTTTCAGCACCCACAGGTGCTGGCAGCCCGGTGAGGGGAGCGCAGACATGCTGGAGGGTGCATTGAGCTCCGCTGTGTCCCCATGGGGACAGCTCTGGCCTGGTTTGCCCAAAAGCCAATTATACCCCCCATGTAATGTAGAGCAGGGACACGTGCCAGGCCTCCCACACAGTGGCAGGGTCCCCCCGGGTGTCTGAGCCCCCCCCCCCCCTTCCTGCAGGCCACTTATAGCTGAAAATGCCCTTGGCCAGGGCCGAGCTGGTGCTTCTCCTGATGGAGCTGCTCCACTTGGTATAAATAAATATTCCACCTGCCTCTGCCTCCCAGCCTGACCTGTTTTGGGGTGCTCTGTTCCTACTGCTGCCTCCTGCACCTTGGCACTTTGCTGGAGCAACGCACGGCAGCGCCAATGCTGAGAGCAGCCCGAGTGCCCCAGCAAAGCCCATGGCCCAAATCTCTGCCCCCGTGGGCACAAGGACACGGGTTTCCCGCAGGGCCGTGTGGGGAGGGGAGCATTTCCTTGCTCCCCAGTGGCCCGGCTCCCTTTGCAGGAGGAAAGGGAAGGGGGTGGGTGGGTGGTGTTCCCCCCCGGTCCCCCCCACAGCCGCAGCCCTGGGGAGGTGCCCACGGCGCGTTTCCGGGGGAGAAGGGCAAAGCCAGGACGCACGGCCAGTTGCACAACCCTGACATGGGCGGGCAGGAGGATAGGGCACAGTGGTGTCAGCCAGCCCCGCAGCAAGGACAGGCAGGGTGGGGACAGAGGGGGGTGCCAGCACAGGGGGGGCAATTTGGCACAGGGTCTGCCTGGAGCTTTGGCAGGGCACTGAGAGGAGGCTGGCAGTGATAAATAAGGAGCAGCACATCCCAGGCTGTGAAGGTGGGTGCCAGCACTGCAGGACAGACCCGTCTCAATGGGGACCATGGGGTTCCAACACGTCCCTACCAGCCACCACCAGCCCAAAGGTGGCTGAAGGCCTGGAGCCACTCCCATCCCCGTCCCCTCGGGGTACAGAGGTCCCCAGTAAGCAGCTGCCCACCCCCCCTTCTCTGCAATGTGTGGGGAGCAAGGGTGCA